AAAAAAAAAAAGCTTTCTTAGCAAAACTTAGGCTTATTTAGCGTCATGGCAGCTAAAAAACCTGACTAAACGGTTAAAAACGGTATTGTTTGGCTAATGTTTGGTATTCAAAGGGTTAAACATTTTTGAAAGCTGTTTAGTTTAAAACAGTTTGAAAGTTCTTTCACGAGTCTTCACTTCTTCTTCCTTCACGAGTCTTAGCTCTCCTTAAGCATAATCATAAACATAAGAATCGATAACAACGGCTTACGCTCTAATGGACTTGGGAACGGATGCGACAAAAGCAAAAGCATAAAGCCTTCTGTTTATGCTTATACCTATGCTTTTGTCGCTGTTATATCCAGTGAGGACATGGTCGATCGACATAAGCTCGCTGATTGGCTGAAAGTCTTTCGCTTACTCTTATGCTTGTGCCAACCATGTCCCAACTGGACGTAATAGCGACATAAGCATAGACGAACGCAAGGTTTTGATATTCTTATGCTTATGAATGTCTCCGTCCGTCCCCACTAGCGCATAAGCTTCCTTTTATGTTTATGTTTGTGTTTATGCTTGCGTCGCAAGTGAGGACCGGCCCTACACTCCTCAGCTTCACAAACTCACTTCAGCGGTCATGTACCTTGACCAGAAAGCTGAGAAAGCCCTTTACAGGGGCCTCTATTTCGAGTACATCTATCAGACAGCAAAAATGCTACCATACAGTCGTTGTAACACGAACATGCCCTACATACGAACTCGACTGATAAAAAATATATATATACAAGAATAAAATGTCGGATTGCGCCGTCAGAAGAGCAGAACTCAGATACAAATGGCGGAAGTGATACGTGTTATTATGTAGGGTTTAATGTCTTAAAGGGATGTTTAGTTTTGCTTTTTAACATTAACCACTTACATCGACCAGGGGGTGTCGACCGCTTTTTATTCCTCTAAAATATTTTGATTGATAGCAAATAAAGAAAATTTAATGGCTTTGTTTTCTTTGCCTGTAGTCTCCAAGAAACTTGCTTCCTCGGCAGCTGCCGACAGCTTAATCTACTCATTATCATCCACTAACTCAACAGCAGGTAGATACTGCAAGGTTTGGCAAAATTTTGTCGGGGTCAGAAAGCAGCTGAAAAATTAAAGTAGCCAGTAAATTTTATCAACTCATTTGAAATTTTAAAAAAGTCTCGCCGCCGAAAGATCAACAAATGTATATCAATGACATATCATTTTTTTTTCCGGAAGAGGTAAAACAACAGCTGAATCAAAATGAGAATCCAAGTTCTATTATCGAGAATATTAGTTTGCTGTTCTGAGGCATATGATCATCAAGGAAATTGCTTAATAGCATATTTCTGATCTATTCGAATAAAAACATGCATTTAAGATAAAAGAAAGAAAACACATCATCATGAAACCTGGGATTTTTACGACAGACAGTTGAACACGTTTTAATACGCCAGCTGCAAATGTCATCTCGCTTTTGATTCTGTTTACCGTCGGCTCGAATCAAGAGAAAAATGGAGTTATTAAAAACAGGGGTTAAATAATACAAGCGGCAAACGTTAGAAGTGGACAATAATCCGCGAGGAACATTTGTGGGGTAGAGAAAGAGAGAAAGACTGTACGAAAAGGACGTGCTCTTTAGAGAAGAACATCATCTAGAAAGGGAAACTGAGTGTTAGTCTGATATTTTGACTTCTGTAAAATACGTGAACCTATTTTAGGGCCAAACTTTGAAGTCATTTTACCTCTAAGTCACTAAGTCCACAGTGATACCGGCCGGTCAACAGTTATGTCTTACATAACAGTGATGATGAAAATTTTAATTTAATTTTTCGACAAGGCGTTCGAAATTATTTGCAGCCAATGTGAGATATGAAATGGAACTTTCCTTATTAAAGACCAATAGACTTCTCAAGGAGAGGAAGGGGAAGTGATAAGGAAGAGGTTGGTTTTCAGTTTGACGGGAGGCACGTTTGCTAGGATAGATATATATATATATATCTCTTTTTTGGCTGTGAATTATCCAAAGTAGCACAAAATTCGAAAAAGTTATTAGTATTATCCCCAAGATCGGCTGACAACCATCTTCCGTGAACAAACACAAAGGATCTTTCCTTTGTGCAAAGGAGCCAATCACGTTCATTTAAAATCCATAAACCTGTGTCTATATTGTTCAAGCGAGATTACAGCGCGAACGAAATGGCGGCTGGATGACTGTGGATGCTCAGGTGTTTTTCCAAGTAAATGCGGTTGCACTGACTAATAGAACGACAATTTTTGTCGCAAAACCACACATAAATGCCAGAGAAAGAAGCCTTGCTGCCGCTAGAGTTATGGCGGGTGATTTTGACTCATCTTACGGTTCGAGATTTGTGTCGTTGTTCTCAAGTTTGTCTGGAATGGCGAGAGTTGGTTAAAAGTCTGGATTCTACCCGTTGGAAAGAGCTTTTCCTGTCATCGAAGCGATGGAAACACCCAAATTGGCCAAATTATTCACAAAAGGAACCTTCTTCTTGGAAGGACACGTACAAAGTCCATCATATGGCTTCAAAACAATGGGTAAATCGCAGTGTCGAGGTTAGATGTGCGCCATGCCTGTATTTGTTCAGAAGAAGGCTCGAGAGAAGGCGAGTTGTTCGTGTTGGACCGGGAAGGGAATTTCTGACTATTAAAAGCGCAATANCCTGTATTTGTTCAGAAGAAGGCTCGAGAGAAGGCGAGTTGTTCGTGTTGGACCGGGAAGGGAATTTCTGTCTATTAAAAGCGCAATAGCTTCGGCGGCACCGTTCGACTGTATTCTGCTTCATCCCGGAGTGTACGATGAACAACATGTTTTGAGTGTGAAATTTCCGATTGAACTCTGCGGTGAAGGACAACTGGGAGATGTTCTTTTACAGATTCCAATCGAACAACAGGCATCAACCACGCGAATTCAAAACATTATTCTACAACCAGGTGTGCAAAGATCGCAGAATTCCCTCCCTGTTATCTTAAAGGTGAGAGAAATGTATTTTTTTCATAAATTCATTAACTTTGTCCACTACTGACAAATCTGCATCGCAAACCAGCCTAATAACCACAACACTATATTTATCTTCATTTTCATAATTTCAAGTCTGTTATTGCGTTTTTCAGTTGTCGGAAGGCGTATATTAAACCTTCTGTGACCTGTACAATACATGTGTGAGATATATACTGCTTTTTTAAACGTTACAGCTTCCATGATATGTGTATATAACATTCACATTTGATAAATAGCCTTTCAAGGCTTCAGTGCTTTGGTGCTGTGAGTTCCAGGTATTTGAGGTTTTATGTTCTACGACTCTTTTGCTTTCATGGATTTTAGCCAGAACTGTTATTATTTTTTCTTCTTAGGACTCTTAGGTACCTGCACGTTGATTAGCTTTACCATTTTACAGTTGTATTCCAAATTTATACTAGTTTTCAGGTCTTTTCAAGGTGATAAAATAAAACCCTAATGAAGAAGCTTATTCTAAGCTTTTTGAATTTACATATTTTATTTAGTGGAGTTTTAGAGCTGTTAGGTCAGCTTTTGTAATATGATGTTAAGAACACAAATATGAGAAGCGCTATGCCATAGCAAATAACATTTGAAAATTCCATTCAGCTGCAATATCCATGCAAGAGTACATTTTTATTTTTCTCCCAAAACTTGGGGCATTGAACAAAATTTTTCAATGGCCATGTGAAATCTATGAATAGCGAACTCTATTTGACTGGAGTTCTCATATGACGTTTGGAGACAACGCATTCATTTAGCTCTTAGTACAGCATAAATGGAACAAAAATGATTCCACGTTAAACAGTCACTTTTTGTGCTTCTTTGCAATAGAATACAATATGATAATTATGTCAAAGTCTTCCTAGTAGTATCAGTTTTTAAACTACTAATTATTTTATGGAAATTTTTCCTTTTCTTTAAACTATTTTTATTTAACTTTTTACATTACGGAAAGGAAGTGTTTAAATTAACTCCGGTAGTAGACTGCTCTTGAATTAGAACTTTAGGACAACGTCAAAATGTTTTCTTTCGTTGACATCGCAATATAGATGGTGTCTTAAGAGATGTCAATCAAGACAATTAATTTGACAAATTAATTGCACATATGCAAATGTAAAAAGTAACTTAAGTATTTATATTATATTAAGGCTCTTTTATGTGTTCTTTCATGTGTTAAACTAAATTATGGCTTTTTCTGGAAGATATCAGCTCTTAGCTACTCTGTAAATTCCAGATAAAATAAATTAGTGTACCCTCTTAGATGAAATTTTTGTGACAAGTTTATTTCGCGATTTGGAGGTGTGCATATTTCATGATGCTTAAATTCCGTGATTTTGCACAAAATTTTGTATTTTTAGTCTGTGCGTTTTTGAGTAATGGACAATTTATTTCTTTGGTAATGTTACTTAAACACGTCCTTGAAATTTAAACCGACTTTATCTAAGGTACAATAACGTCAAAATTAACAAACACGCAACGGCGGGACTATATTGCAACAGTAACCTAATATGACTCACTTATTTTTTATGTCTTGTCATGTTCGGGAAAACTATTGTTTGCGTCACTTTAATTTCTTGATTTTTTTAAAATCGCAAAATTCACAAAATTAACGTGTTGTGAAGATGTCATGTTATAAGGTATGTATGTATGCTTGTAACAATTTAGTAAAAAGTTGACTATTTGTAACTTTATCACATTATCGTGGTAGTTTATTTTTTAGCCATAGAGAGAACATTCCTTTTATTAATAGTTCCAAGCAACTTTTCAGTACTTAATGTATATATTTCAGGCCAGGTTTCAAACTTTTGCCTTGTTTTGGCTTATGTGCAGGCTCCAAAGTAAAACATTGTACATTTTTGTACCTAATGCTCAGGAAAATGCTGCTCCTGGGTAAGAAATCGCTTTTTCAACAAAGTTGAGGCCAATTCAGGGTCGTGGCAGCTAAAAACCCGAGTTCAGGAAAAACCAGCATTTTTTTAGTAAATTTAGCCCTTAAAGGGTTTATGTAACTAGAGATCAATATACATGTGTAAGCAAGTATCAAGAATTAAGTAATCATAGTAATATTTTCTTATACTAGTAATTATGTAACTTTTTTTGTCATCCAATCAATTGTCATGTAGGTTGGAACAGGGCATGTTCAACTGGATAACTGTATCCTTGAGCAAGGCCAGATTCAAGTCTCATCTCCAGGCAGTATTGTCATTCGTTACTGTACTTTCAACAATGCTTTTGTCACGCTACGCTCAGTTGGTTATAGCAGAATTGAAAATTGCCAGTTTAGCACAGATGAATCATCTGCTGTTATTATAGAAGGACTTCCACCCATCTCACGGCCCAGGCCAATTTCCAGACCTGTTGAAGACTGGATGACGTCAAATGGGATTGACTCCCTAGGTCTGGAAGACCTCTATGATCTCTCTGTTGTTGAACCTGATGTTCCAGGGGCGAGGAATACCAGTAAACCAATGACTGACAAAGGGACACCACCTCTAGGTAGTAAGTGCCCTGCTGTGCCAATCAAGCTTACAGATGGCCAAACAAAAGGAAGCAATGGCAGCCAAGTGACTGTTTTAACAAACGATCTTTGTCAACCTAAAAGCCCGCAAGGTGTTGGCTGTGAATCTCATCCAAGGAGATATCATCTTGATACACAATGCCGAGATGTTGTCAGATCCATACATGGTTGTGTTATAAGAAATAACTGCTTTTGTGTAGGCAAGGGAGCCGTGCTGGTCAGACGCAGAGGACATGCCTGGATTGAAGGAAATGAAATTGGCCGTTTGTCTCATGGTGTGAGATGTCTTACAGGTGCCAAGGTCGTAATCCTTAACAACAGGATTCATGATTGCGGAACATCAGGGATATTTTTCAGGGAGAGGTCCACTGGTTTGGTTGCTGGAAATCACATTTATGGCAATAAAGAGGCAGGAGCAGACATCCGTAGTGGATCAGACCCAATCGTACAGCACAATCACATTCACAGTGGCAAGCGCTCTGGAGTTGTCATCTTGGACCGTGGTAAAGGAGTTATTAGAGACAACGACATTTATGATAATAAAGAAGCTGGGGTCTACATTCTGTATCGTGGAAATCCCATTGTCAGGTATTTTTCTAATGCAGTGGTTCCCATTAGGTTAATATGTGTATAACTGGATCATTGTTCCATTAATGTTCATTAAAGGCCCATTAATTACCTAGAGCATGTGACAACATTATATATAGAATGGCTCTTTATTTTTGTATTCATCAGTAAAAGTGAACCACTTCATTTACATAGCGAAACATGGAAGAAGGCAAGGGACATGGCATAACCCTCAGAATTCTTATATGGCACCGAGGCTTTCTGCCAAAATTTGGGTCTTTTATGTACATGTATCAAAATTAATTTTTGAGACTAAGGAATCTTGAAATATTTGCAGTTTTTGGCAGAAATCTTTGTGTAAGAATCTTGTTACCCGTATATCAAATGTGGTCTATTGAATTAAGATTGTGTTCTTTTCAGACACAACAGAATCTGGGCAGGCCGTGCAGCGGGTGTGGCTGTGACTGAAGAAGGAAAGGGTCACATTCTCTATAATGATATCTGTGGTATGGAGTGGGGAGGTGTGGACATTCGTAATGGAGGCAACCCAGTGGTGACAAACAACTGGATCAGGGAGGGCCATGCAGATGGCATTGTTATTGGAGAGGGTGGGAAGGGAATTATCATGGACAATGACATTCGAGGTAATTCACTGATCAACCTTCTAACGGTAGAATCAAACCTCCAGTTGCGACCAGGCTTGATATTTTGGGTGATCACTTATGGGAGGTTCAACGGTATACAAGTATCTTCTGTGTACTACAGCAAGGTGCCAATACAGTTGCACTAGATTCTTCCATTTTTTCATTCCTTTGATTTCAAGTTGCTCTAAAACTCAACATTTTAATCTAGCATCTGACTTTTTGGAATTATTAGTTTGTGATAAGTAATGATTATTTTAGAATTTATTGTAAAAATGTAGTGCAATTGTGAACATGCTTGAATGTAATATTTGCAATATAAATTTTTGTATAATTTTATTTTATATATATTTTTTTGTAGTATATTAATATTGATATGTTGCACAGGTAACAGTGGCTGTGGGGTCTGGATCCTAACTGTCTCTAAACCCCTCATCTATGGCAATCGCATTGCAGACTGTGGCGACAGTGGTGTTGCACTTGTTAGCAACAGTGATCTTCACCATGACAACCAGCAACTGAGTTCACAGTTTGCACAGTCAGAGCAAGAGGTGAGCTGTGATTGTCTATCTGGCCATCAATTAGTTTTGACAGTCTTGTCTCTTCATCAGCTGTTCAATATGGTCAGTCACTTTCTGTTCAACAATGAGTCAAGACTGTCAGTTGATCTATATGTCCCTTAGTCAAGTTAGTCTGTACAGGGTATGTCCACAAGCTGGTGGCAGTCAGTCAGTTAGCCAGCCAGCCAGTCATTAGCTACTCAGTAGAGCTCAACGTTGTGACCATTGGGGTCACCAATGCGACCAAATTTTTTCCACTGGTGACAAACTTTTCATGCTTTTTACTGAAATACTTTTACCGGCAACTATGTCTGAAAACTTAGGGGTCAGCTGGCCCCAAGGTTTTTCTCAAAAGTCGAGTTCTGGTGAGTCAGGAAGCTATGTAATCAGTCATTCAGGGTCAATCATTCGTTCATTCTCATTTGTAGTAATAACTATACAAAGTCATGTTATCCTAAGTTTAACTCAAAGCCTTACATTTTAGGAACAGCAAATGCAGCCATTATTCTTTGATGAAGACCTGTCTTCTACGTCAAATTTTGAGGACCACGAACACTCTATTGACATAAATGGTTAGTAAGCTGGAAAAATGAAACAGATTCCAGTTAGTGTGACCTTTTTGTAAGGCAAAATAACTAACAAAACATGTTTGCACTACCTGACAGCTTGTGAAACTGCCAATTTGTTTGTATTACATGGACTAATCAAGTTGAGCAATAAAGAGTCTGTAATTGCATGGCAACAATTTCCATTTCCTGTTGTAAAACACAAGGCAACTTAATCTGTAGAAGGTCAAGCCTAAGTTCAACCCTCCACACTTCTTAATCCCAGCAATAAGAGAAAACCCGGCAGTCTTAAACAGTTGCTAGGCGACATTGCATCCCCCCAGAGAAGAGAAGTTCGTTTTCTGTTGATGTGTACCTTGTAGAAGATGTGTGAAATTATTGTTTGATTTACTTTGTTTCAACAGGTCCTCGACCAGACAAGAATTATGCCTGTGTGGATAACAATACAATTTTCGACAATGCAGGCCATGGAATCCATTTTTCAGGCAGTGAAGGCCTGCTCATCCGGGGTAATAATGTTCATAATAACGAGGGCTGTGGTATCAGTGTAGCAAAACCAGCAGAGATTACCATCCAAGACAACAGCGTTTGTAGAAACAACAGCTCGGGAGTTTCTATTGAAATAGGCTGTAGTGCTAATGTCAGTGGCAATGGTATCTATGGAAACCGAAAGCATGGAATTCTTGTGTGTGGGAAAGGCCTGATAAAAGAAAATGATGTGTTCTGTAACGCGTTAAGTGGAGTTGAACTGCGTGGGCCAGGTGATCCTTACATCACCAGAAACCGCATCCAATCCACAGACCATTATGGTGTAAATATTCTAGAAAATGCTCGTGGATATGTGGACAGTAATGATATCTATCAGTGCAGCACAGCAGGTCTGAATCAACACCCTGACAGTACAGTGTTGGTGATAAACAATCGTATCATTCCAGTCAATACCAAAAGTGACCGTCAAGTTTGCATTGTTAACCAAGATACCAATGAATGTAGTCATGACCCCAGTGGACTAGATTTAGACTCACCTCCACGCCCCTTGCTTCCTAATAAGGAGAACAAATTTCCCAGGCCAGCCATGTCACGGTTATCAATGTCAACCTCAGGGAATAGTCACATTGTGGCAGGGATGGCGACATGTCACGGACGCAGTCGATTTTGTGTCATTTCGTGATGAATCTATATAATATAGCAGTAGTAGATTAGTTAGAATCCAATCGTGTGAATTGTAGAGCTTAGAACAAACCAGTAGATGACAAAAATACATCAGCAAACATGAAGTGACTCTTCTTATTGAACTGGCGTTCCCATTTTCTCATAGCAATTTGTTAAATAATCAGAAGGTAGGAGCTAAATTACTGATATAAAAATGTAAATAACGTATTCAGTTGAACGATCAATTGAAATATCAGATGTAAAAATATAAGAATAAAGTATATACCATTTCTTGTTCATGTAATCTTGCCAGCATATTGTTTTTTTTAACCTACTTTTTAACTTTTGTTTGCCATGAGGGAAACAATTTAAAAAATTTAGAAAAAAACGTGGCAGAAAGGGTCAGTTTGAGATTCTGGTCTTTCCACCAAAATATCGAAAAGCATGCTTAGAGCCCCAGGGGGGGATTCTCATATATAAAGAAAGGGGGTGCTCGTCACTACCCCCGTTTTTTTTTTGTGTGAGAGTTCCTCCCCTACAGGACTTAGAGATTCAGTGGCGATATTAATCGGAATCGTTCAGCGGTCATAACTATTTCTACTGAATGAAAATGAAATTGTGTTTCTATAATTTAGTCGCTATTAAATGAACGATTAACACCTGAACCTGTCATCTTGACTTCTCTCTGTGGGTGGGATGGGGATGAATTTTATTCTCTGGGCAGTGATGGGATGAAATTGTTTTAACTTGTCTAGAGAGATGAAGAATTATGAGCTCATGTATGATGCGCGCATTCTTGAGTTTATTAAAAAGAGCGCCCCCGTCCTTTTTTACATGAGAGTTCCCCCCCCCGCCCGGGGGGTTTGGAGCCCTTGCCAACGAATATCGTTCTCAGTTATTCCCCAAAGGACAGGATTTGACGAAAACTAATCCTCGGCATTTCGTGCAAACCGCCGTAATCTTCAACACCTGACAAACTTAAATGGGGGACAGGAGGAAAGGCTGAATAAACAGTTTGAAAATATATTATCGATTACTGAATGTGAATGTCAGTGGTTGTTGCGCGCTCCATTGCGAGCCTTTAGCGAGAGAAGAATGAGGATAAAGCCTTCACTTCCGGCAGAACCTGGAGGTCTGGGGATACAAAAAACACCGGAAGTTATTGTTTCTTGTAAGCGAGGCTAAAATCGACACGGTGAGAAAATTTTCTTTGAAATTTACTTGGTTAAAATGAAGTGAAGTAATTTCTTTATCCTGGGGAGCACATTTTTCGTCATTTAACGGTTGCTCCCTCCTATTGTAACCTCACCTGAATCTCCTTGGATTTACGATGCCATCTCTTGAAAAATATGTGCAAAAGATTCACAAGAAGCTGAACAATGAAAGACTCGAGGAAGCAAAGGTGAGAAGTGGTGGTTTTTGTGGAGATTATCGATCCTAGCTTCCTCTATTTGCACATAGGTTTATTTATTACTCTTTTTATGAAATTGTAGATTAAGAAGTATCTTCAGGAGCTTGACAGAATTCAAATCACGCTGGACGTCTTGAAGGTCAGGAGCCAAGTCTTTCATAACCTATTAAACATGACCTTGTTGTGAGCTTATTGTTTAACTTTGATAATGGTTGTGTTTTTCGCAAGAGTTTAAAATAAATTTGCATCAACAAGAAAGTATAATCACTATGTTAGCTGTTATACAGCAGGAATGAATTGTTAATGTTCTTGTGAAATTCGACTCGTTAACTTTGCCTGGGCCAACAACACCGATCTGCCGGTCCAATATGCGTTATAGCCTCACCGTCATCAAGCGCCAAGACATGTTGTTAGTTACTATCATGGCTGGGTGTATTTTGTACTAATTTTAATGTTATGGTCACATACATATTGCACAGAGTATGTAGAATTATTTTCTAGTAAATAACGGCTTCTGCCAGTAATTTCCTACGAAGTAAGAAGTTCTCATATTTTTATTTATAGTCTTTCATTTGTTTCCATTCCCACGTGACAATAATACTACTAAATTGAATTAAAGAAAAAAATTATAATTCAGTTATAAATAAGTTACATCATTATTTACCTTTTTTTCTTTTGAAATAACTATCCAGACTGGCTGCTTTAATACTAAAGATGCATTATCCATCAGGACCAACTTGGGCCGTATTATGCGTCCAGGCAACCTATCCTTTGTAGTGCGTCGTTCTTGATGCATAATGAGCCTTGTTCCTGTCTATATACTGGAGACGCATAACCAGACAAACTACAAATGTTTGCCCAAGTTCGTCCAGATGGATAATGTGTCTTTTGTATAAAAACGATGAGGATGCACTATCCTTCTGGACAGATGATGCATCCTCTAGTATAAAAACGGCCAGTGATGCAGTCAAATTAGTTTTATATACTTTTAGCAGGTGTGAAAATAATATAGTTTAAACCAGTTTATGGTCTGATAAAATAATTCATTCATTAAATGGCAACTGGTAGTCTTGAGGTAAATCCGAGCATTTTGATAGGTTCTTTCCAGGTCAGGATTTTGCCATACGGACTGTTTCCATGACAATCCGTATGCCATGGTCATAAGCCAGGCACTTTTTTTTTTCGAATGTGATATAATAAACTACATTATACTAACCTAGCTTGTTCAAGCCGTACAGAGGAACACTGGCCCTGGGTCATTTTTGTAGGGACCATTCTGTACTGCTATGACCTCGGGCCAATATTCCCCAGTACGGCCCTCACACTCGGTTGGTAGGAGGCTAATCTTTTATTTTGTCTTTTTGAATCAAGGCAACTGGGATTGGAAGGGCTGTGAATCGATACCGTAAACATGGCAATGATGTTGGGGATATTGCTTCTTACTTAGTCACAAAATGGAAAGAACTCTTGAAACAAGAACCAGGTGCAAGTCAAACTTCATCTTCTGAGGCTTGTGATAAAGAACTGTCTGGTAGTCACGTGGTAAGAGAATCAAAGGTTGATCAAATAAATAACAAACATGACAAGTCCAAGCACAAAACTGGTGAAATCAAACCCAAGGTATGTATTCTACCCCATTACAATTAATTGGTGTGTAAAATTTGCTGATAAGAGAACTTTTAATTTTTGAGTAATGGATTAATGTTACGTTACCTATGTAGCCCGTTCTTGGGTAAGACACTTCACTCTCACAGTACCTAACTCCACCCAGGTGTATAAATAGGTACCAGCAAATTTAATGCTGGGGGTAACCCTGCGATAGACTAGCATCCCATATGTGGGGGACTAGAAATACTCCCAGTTGCCTTATATTACAGTAACCGGAGATAAGTGGGTCACTTGCCTTGTTTAATTTGCAGACTTTACCTACCATTACCTATCTATACCTGCATTAATAATTGAGAGACAATTATTGTTTAAACTAAAACATTAATCTGAGCATTATTCTGGCCAAGCAGAGTACAATATACCTGCAGGCCTGCATTTCTGCATTAATACCCTCTGTAAAATAGGACTCAAACCACATGATCACCAGATGCAATTTATTCACCATATAACTCTGAACTTTCAGAGCCGACCCACACTGCAGCTCTGTGATATTTCATTTGGCTGTGAACCTGTGAACATCAACAAACAGAAGAAGAGACCCACAGCGTCTGCAGGTGCTGCAACAAAAATGACATCAAATGAGAGTTCAAGACTAGAGCTAGATCTGCCTCCCCTGCCATCATCACTATCAGTTACAAACTTACTGCTGCCAGAAATTCAACCCACTTATAAACCTGTGAGGTTACCTGCTGAGTTCTGTGATGGTTCACCTAAAAAGAAAAAAGGTAGGATTGAAGTTCTTTCAAGAATATTTTAAAAAGTTTCAAGAGGTCTACAAATATTTTAAAAAGTTTCAAAAGGTCTACAGACTCCTCTCCATACAGCAAATTAACTTGTCTCCCTCCTGCCTCTTCCAGGCATGGTTTGGGTGTGTGTGTGTGTGTGTGTGTGTGTAGGGGGGGGCGGGGGAGCACAAGAAATGACATACAGAAAATAGGGGAGAAGCACTGTGCTGGAAGGTGTTCACGCCCTACACCAACCCCCCTCTTCATTATTCACTTTGCCATTTGCCCTGACTAACCGAACACCTGAAAGATGCTTTTAATTAGTCTGACCCCTTCAATAAATCTTAATTAGCAATTTAAATAGGCATTCCATTCTATACATAACAGCAATGTTTTAATTTTTTCCATTCAAGGTGTAGTTGCTGGTGAGGTTGATGAGCACGCTCTCATGTCCAGAAAATCTCGCACTCAGGTGTTTTCAGGACGAAGATTACAAGCTGGAAGTTAGTATTTACATGTCTGTACTGTTCATTTATCACTGGAGAAAAAAATTTTTAATAAATTTGTTGCAAAATTATTTTATTAATAGACATACTTTCTTCAATGATAACATATTTATTCTGCTGATAGCAGATATCCAATAAATGGATCCTTCTAATGCAAAGACCATCATTTTAGTTTTACAACAGTAGCATTATATGCTCCAATACCATGCATCANAATAAATCTTAATTAGCAATTTAAATAGGCATTCCATTCTATGCATAACAGCAATGTTTTAATTTTTTCCGTTCAAGGTGTAGTTGCTGGTGAGGTTGATGAGCACGCTCTCATGTCCAGGAAATCTCGCACTCAGGTGTTTTCAGGACGAAGATTACAAGCTGGAAGTTAGTATTTACACGTCTGTACTGTTCATTTATCACTGGAGAAAAAAATTTTTTAATAAATTTGTTGCAAAATTATTTTCTTAATAGACATACTTTTTTCAATGATAACATATTTATTCTGCTGATAGCAGATATCCAATAAATGGATCCTTCTAATGCAAAGACCATCATTTTAGTTTTATAACAGTAGCATTATATGCTCCAATACCATGAATCACATGTGATGATCACTATGTCAATAATTCTTGACTATTGTTTTCTATGAGGGGATAGTTTACGAGGCCAAATTTAATACTGACATTTCTAATTAACTTTCATTTAATTTCTTTCAATATTCTGCCTAGATTTAAAATTAGGCTGGATCCCAGGATTTAGTCTTCTAAATCTTGTTCCTTGTAATCTTAGGAAAATGAGAAACATTGCCATTTTGCCAACAAACTTCAGCCACTGCATGCTAATGGCCTTTTTCTGTGCTGGCTAATAGTGTTAATAGCTCAGCCATCAGCCAATCAGATTGCAGTATTTGCCTTAGTATTCTAGTAGTTCTAACTCTAACTAAATTATTGTTTTATTTTTTTCATAGCCATTACATCTCTATATGAATTATCAATGAAGATCTTAATTGAGAACATTGATGGTATGTTAATTGCTAATACTACATTACGGTGTACTTAAAAAATAATATAGACTAGTCTTATGCACATATGGGTTTAATAAATCTTGCTTTCCAGTGCTCAGCCCCTTAATTTATGGGCACAATATGTTGGTTTCATAGTCCCTTTTGCTGGAAATTTGAGCTTCACTTCCTTAGCATCAAGCTATGAATAGTTGTCTTTCTCTAACACTGAAAAGTTTTTGAAGAGATTTTTCAATGATCAGCTGTAATCAACTTGAATTGATGTTACATGTCATTTTGTTACAGCTCTTGGTGACACTGGTGGAGTACCCTGTGACATTCTTCAACCAGTTCTTGAGAAGTACGTTTTTCTGCATAACTGACTTGAAAAATTGTATGACTTCTATCCCAGCTATTTGAGATCTTTACCTCTGAACACCAATATCAATTGAAAGAGCTAACAATCTTCAAGAAAAGGATGCCTTAACATGATGGTGTGTAATGGAGGATTTATTTAAGAAAGGGTAAAACTGCCTGACAGTGTAAAAGCTTCTAAAAACTCATAATGATAATCCTACCTCTGTAATGGCTGTTAATATTCAGGACACACAAAAATTAATAACCTGAAGGACAAGTGATGTGATATGATGTGGCAAGTTGTGACTTACTCATAAATGAATTCGAACTTGGTGTAAAGGGTCCAACTAACAGCTTAACGTTTTTTATCAGGTGTAATCCACAACAACTCTTGCATTTGGAAGAATGTAACCCTGTAAGTTGAACAATTTTTTTAAAAATTGTGTCAGGTCTTATAAGGCCCTTACTTGTGGGAGGTTTCCGCTTCCTTTTATTTGTGTGAAATGTATCCTGTTAGTTCTGAGAGATTTCCCTTTTCTTGACGTGTGACCTAACCTGCTAAAAGGAGCTAAATTACTTTTGAGGGGTGTTCAAAAATGTTATACATCATGTCACCTTGTAGGATGTATCCCCTTGCTTATGGGAGGTTTTCTCTTGCTGTAAGGTATAACACTTCTGAATTGGTGGTATATTAATCGCACCTTTACTTGTGAGTAGTATAGGACCCTGACTTGGGAAAGTCAATCAAGGACCCTCCCTCGAGGGAGGTACTTGTGGGAAGCATTCCTCTACTTGTGGTAGGTATCCTTTTACCAGGGTGGGGGAGGGGGGTACTTGCAGGAGATATCCTCCTACAGTGTACTTGTAGGAGGTGTCCCCTTAGTTGCATGAGAATGTGGCCCCTTATATTACTTAGCTTGGGGGTGTCCTCTTACTTGCAGGAGTAATTAGTCCCTTACTTCCAGGAGTTATATCCCCTTACATGTGGTAAACATATTGTTAGTAATGTTGTTAAAAACATAATTGTTGTAGTATTTCATTGATGACACTGATCCACTTTGGGAGAGGCACTGTTGTAGAGACTTCAAAGGAACAAAACCTAATGCAAGCCAGAGCTGGAGGGAACTTTACATGGTAAGAGTTTGAAATAGATTATAGCATGGCAGCTGTAACGTCACATGCATTACTTTAATTTAACATGACATAAAAATGTTTTTACTTTAATTATGCTACGTAAATCTTGTTTTACAGCAAAATGAAATCGAAAGAGAAGATAGGTTGAAGAAAATAAATCAAAAAATTGCTGCTAGTCAGGCAGCTAAGAAACCTGGTAAGTAGATGTTAGATTACTGTTGTAAAGATTACTAAAAGAAGAACAATATCTGCACTGCATGACAAAAGTGCTGAAGGGACGCCCATATTGAAAGGACAGGGGTGCTTATTAATGGAAATTTTTAAGAGAACTCCAAAGGTACGAAGACCCTGTTTTGTGGGCGTGGCTTGAATTTTTTAACCCCTAAGAGGTACCAATTCCAAAGCAACACGTAACCTGACACTGACCCTTTTTGGTTTGTTTAGCCTTAGTAACGATTTTGTATGGCATTCACCAACCTAGATAAGTGTAAACCTCTTTCAGGAAAGAAACTCACTACATCTCATGAATGTGACAAAGCTGTACTGAAATAACAGATATTTACCTATAGTGTATATGATTAGCCCTAAGTTGAAGCATCCATCTGGTCCGGGTTGTCAACACTTATATTTGCTGCACAGCAATTTATCTACAGAATAATGTTAATCATCCACTTCTTTGAGCGCATAACCAGACATACTTTCTTGGTAATAATGTTACTTTTCTTTTCTTCAAAGAACGACAGGCCCGAATTGCTTATGCTGATACAGAGGCCAAGCCTCCCCGTGATGTTCGTAAAAAGCAGGCTAAATTTGGGACTGGATCAGGGGTTTATCCTTCCATACCTGTGATAGCTCCTTCGAGAAGTACTCCACTGGCACACCAAAGAAATCTTGGTTCTTCTAATTCACCAGCAAAGAAACATGCAGGTTTGCATTTACAATAGTCTGAAGAAGAAAAGATTGTATCACAGAATTCTTGAGAATTTCAACCTGGAAACTGAGAGGCTGCTAATTTCCTCCTCTTGCAACTTAACCCATTGACTTCCGTGCCCTCATAACGGGCCGTGACGAGTCTTGGCCTTTGTTCCACTTCTGACATCATCATCTTTGACCAAAATTGGCATCACCTATACTCATCTTCTGCAGGAGGAAAAGATCTTTCCAATGATACCCAGATCAGAGTGATCGGCTCAATGGAGCCTGAAATATGCACAAAAATGCTCAGAAATTTGAGTGAAAAACTTAGAGCAAAATTTCCTGCAACTACACATGGCTGCTCCATGGCAAAAATTGCCTGTCTTGATGATGCTTTCTTAGAATTTTTTGAACTGGAAGCAAGCCCAGTAGAAGGTCAATCACTGCAGCAAAAGGATAAGAAAAAGGGAAAAAGGAAAAGCAAAAAAAATTAAATTAAAAAAAAAAACAAAAAGCCTAAAGACGAAAATTTTGATTTCTGCGCGTGCCTGAGCAAAAATGTCGTAAAAACGCAATGCTAGTGGAAAGAAAAGCATGCTTTCATGCTGCAAATACATTTTTGGGTAGATTGGAGCTAATTTGGCCCATATCCAGCCTGAAAATCTCCAAAATGTCCAAAAAATGCATTTTTGGCCAAAAGTGGAGTCAGTGGTTTAAAACAACGAACACTCTCTGCCAGATCAGGGACTGTTGAGACCATTTTGAAGTGGAAAAACTAAAAACCCTGGCCAAGAAAAATTTGAATTAGCCAAGGGGTCTCTGTTCCACCATTTATCATGCATCTCTGTTACCCTTTTGAATAACCAAAAAAGGCCTGCAAGGGCTAAGCTCTACCTCCCCCTCTGCAATGCACCAATGTTATTAATAACATTCCTGATCATGGGTTATCAAATCCTCAGGAAATTTTTCCCAGCCAAATTTGATGGCTTGCCAAAGAAGGAAGAACCATAACTGTTTAAAAACCATTTTAATTTATAATAAGCTAAAGGAAATGTCTATAGGGTCCACGAGAAACAAATCTTACTAATTATATAATCAAATGTAGAAATGTGTAATATGTAACTCAAAATCTGAAAGAAATCACTCTCGACTGGCTTGCAGCATCACAATATTACCAGCATGTTAACAATCTGTCTTCAGTGAACAAATAAGTGAGGATGTTGTCACCTGATGTAAGGTAATTGCAATAATTTTAAATTAATTTTCAGTGCCAGCACCAATGATGAAAAAGACAATGAAACTGTTCAAAAACCAGAGGTTGGTAAATGTGTTCAGTTTATTGTAAATGAAGTTCAGTGAAGATCATAAACTTTATTGGCTTCTCTGGGCTTCCTTGCCTTATAAATTGATATTTTGTAAATATATTATTTTATAAATGGACAAAGTAAAACAAACAAACGAACAAACTAACAAACAGTGATTCTACATGTCTGGAAAAGACTGATGATTTAGAAGTGATTCTAACTGGAGTTTTATTGTCTACTAGGAGCAGAGCCACGACAAGTATCAAGAGGAAATAAGATTTCTCAGGAAGATGATTTTGTTTAAGTTGGTAGAGAGGCAATTCTAAAGCCTTTGAGTATGTCAGACATGTTGGAATAGTTTTTTTTTTCTAGCTGTTGAGCTTTTAGAGTAGGAATAATTGTATTGAAATGTAGCTGTGGTTTAAGTAGGTTTCCATTTGTGATTAAAATCTCTCTAGAGGTAAGGTGGTGCTTCTTAAACTAATTAATAATTCATCAAGTTTAAACAAAGGAAATCGTGAACGTGACAGGGTTTGGATATCTGATCTTAATTAGCAGAGATTTTTACAATTTTATTTCAGTCTCCATTTTCTCCTTAGTTTAAAGGAGCTCAGTCACGGTATTTTGAGTTATTTTGGCCACATACAAAATTACCTTTAAATGGTAGGAAACCTGATAATAACAGTTTGATAAGATAGAAAAATACCAAAGAGATAATGATAAACCATACAGGAACAAGGATGGCTAAGGATGGAGAAGATTGACACGGACTACAAACGACGAATTTGAAAAATTGAGGCTATACCTTTCAATATGCGCAAACTGTGACTGAGCTCCTTTAAGTTTTGATTGAAAAGATGTATCAAGGGGATAATGAGAAGAATGTGCTGCCGGTAATTACTGGTATATCTGCAAATGGTTAGACATTCAAGTCTTCTCGGATAAGGGCTATAAATTGTAGGTGCCGTCTCCTGTGTCTTCAGTGTTACGTGGTTAGCAGGGGACATTAAAGAACCCACACACCTATGGAAAACCGTAGGGCACATAGTTCTTGGTGTTGTGGTCTGGCCTTGTCTCAAAATTGTCATGCTATCAAGCACTCAAGACAGCATTTTGACCTTAAATTTCATCAAAAATACTTCATTACCTGTCATATTTGCAGCTCTCTTCCCGGTGTTTGGAGATGTGGTCAAACACGGTCTTTCATGTTTGATATTTAACTTAACTGTAGGTGTTATATAATTGATCATCTCCCCGAGGTAAGGCCTCTCTAGTCAATAGTGTTTGTCTTTTATCAAGATCTTTTATCTTGATTGTCAATGTGGCTTGCTTTGTAAGAGACTTGGTAAGGCTGATGAAACATACAGAGTGATCTTACTAGCCTGTCTAAAGCTGTTGTGTGAATAGAAATAATTTCTGAGCCTGTCAGACACACAGTAGAGATATAAATATCTTATTAACCTCTTCTTCTCAGTCCGTACTGTAGGTTACAGATCCTTGTTTTTTCCCCTTTGATTTATATTATGGCCTGCAAGCTTTGTGCTTAGGCCTTAAATTGAAGGGGAAAAGCTTGGTTTGTACCTTACAGTACAGACCTCAAACTTGGTTTACTTAGTTAGAGGTATATAACAAGCTTATAAATTGTAACTGTGAGAGCTAAGACATCCCTGGGCTTAGATTTATTATTTATTGTCCACAATTTTATCTACAAGCTTCTCAGTATGCCACATGCATAAGGAAAGTATAATTATAATACTCGTCAAGGTGCTTTTCTAACCTTGACTGACATGAAGAAGGAATATTGTACAGAAGAGGATAATAAAATTAATTATTATTTGGCAACTTCAAATGGAATTCAGGCATTATGTGTATGACACATTTAATCCAGTGCAGTATAATTCAGTGTAATATAAGTTGATTGTAATTTGTTTTTCAAGGTACTAAGTACTACAATGTAGTTAGCAAATTATACATTGAATTACTTTAAAAATGGAACTGTTCTTAAAATATCAGAGTCAAAGGTAATTTAAATAGCTGTTTGCCTCTGTTTTACAATAAGGTGTAGTGAAAAAGTTTGTACATAAAGTATACCAGCATGTCATGCAATGCATATGTTGGAGCATTAACAAGACTCAAGATTTGAGTCAGCATTTGCATGTCAGATGACTATTAAATATTGTAAAAATTAAAATAAAAGGCAAATAAATTGGGATCTATCAAGTACTTTGGAGTGCTTTCTTGGCCTGGGCTGAACTGTCCAAAATTGGTTCAGTTCTGGCCCTCTCTGTTACACAACACTACAATTCCGTCATGCTGAACTAAGCAAGTATTGTGCAACAGAGAGGACCACAACAGAAGAAAATGTCAACAGCATTAATTATTAGCAATAACAAAAGAGTTGTTTTTCATGAAAAAAATATTTCAATTGTCTTTATTGGATTTGACAGATTTATATACAGATTAAAATTACTTCTTGAAAACATTCTGATCAAAGAAAAGTCACAATAAACTTTGGCAGAGTGTTTAATGTAATCATTAACTATCGCATGAAATATTTATTATAGTAATATCATGATCAGTGTGCTTTTTTCCTTCAGGCCCGAATGGCAACCACTCTTCAGAGCAAAAGCACACAGGGATTTCATTAAGAGTCCAGTAAGGACCCAGGGGCCTGTTTCTTGAAAGCTCCAGAAACTTTTCAGGCCTGCAAAGTCATTTTCAGTTAATCTGTATCTAAAAACAGACAGGTGTATACGCCTGAAACTTCTTGTATGAAGGACACTTCTGGCCATATTAAGAATATGTATTACTAAATAAAACAGCTCTGTAATCATAAGGTTTGAGATTT